AACCAAAAAAAAGTCATTTTTGTTCTAGTTATTTTAATAGAGTCCCATTAAAGATGTATTGCTGACTGAAATATCGGCATGAAGGGCTCTCACTGAGCTGAGCCCAGGAATTAAGAAGTCAGGAAATCGGCTGCTGCATTGCAAGAGAGCCTTGTGTGACACCGAATCTCCTGATTGGGGAGATCATTACTGCTATTATGACTCGACTTGCGTAGGAATTTTAAATTCCATCTGAATGTCAGTAATAACCCTCTTAGCAAATTATCCTGAATAAAATCACGAAGGCATTTTATATAATAGGTGTTGAATTACTGGATAGATTTGCTAATTAAATACTCTTTGTTCTGCTGCAGTTGACATTACAGGGTAAGATCTTGAACAATTATTCTCAACAGCTGTACTTTGTTAAGGGAAAAATTAACCACAAAGTTTATTTTTTTACACTTGAAGTTGGCAGATTTTTGAAATGTGCTTGAAAAAATTCCATCATCCAATTGGTAATGAGTAGATAAATATGCAGGTGTTGCTGTGAAATCAGATAACTGCAGACTGCCTTATTAATGAATTTAGCAAGGCTTTATAGCCCTGTTTTCTAGCTGTTGGCACTTATGAAATGATTTTCTGTCAGAATGGGTATCTTTAATATTAGGCTTGTCACTTTGAAGTGAACTTATGAATGGTCATCTTATAATCATTGTAACTTATGTCCAGTAGACCTTTTTGAATACCTGTGGTTATTTTAAAAATTCCTTTCTTGGGGGAAAATATCTATAAGTTTTTGATTGTTGGCTTCTAGAACATTCATGTAATATAGGATTTTTTTTTCCTAAAAGGCAGTGGGACTTAATGAAAAGAAAATGAAACATACAGTCTAGCTTCTAGATCAAGCTCTTGCTTTGGGCAAGATCTCAGAGCCTAATTTTTCTCATCTGTCAGTTGGGACTTATAACACTACATACCCTTTAGGATTATTCATTTAGCATTCTGTAAATATTAATAACTCCCATGTACCATGCCTTCTGCTGGATACTAAGAATTTGGAACTGTGTATCCAACAGCAAGCCCTCCCCAGTAAGCAGTTTGAATTGAGGGCTGGGCCTGAGGGCAACTCATTAGCACTTGGGTAATTACTGGACTGGAGAGGGCACTGTAGTACCTACAATCCAAAACTTCTTAGTGAAAAAGCATGGGAGGTTAGGGGTTGTCTTGTGGGTTGTCTTATATAGAATAGATTGAAGAATTGATGAGTTGTGGTAAGGACCCTTAATCTGAAACAGAATGTTATCATCAGCCACTGGTGAGGTCCACTAGAAAGATGTTGATTAAAACTGTCCCCAGAAACTGGTATGAACTCTGTGGATAGCTATTGGACTATATGAAAAAAATTTTTTAATGCATATAACCTTTGACCCAGTAAGTCCACTTGTAGGAATTTATCTTGTTCCTGGCAAATTTACATGTGTATAAGGATTATTTGTTGAAGAATGATTATAATGGTAATGAGTAGAAACAACCTATATGTTCATTAATAGAGCACTAGTTAAATAAATTATGATGTATTCATACAGTGGAGTACTGTGTGGTCATTTAAAAAGAATAAGGAAGCCCTTCATGTGTGGATTTGGCATAACCTCTAAGATAAGGTGTTTGGTGAAAAAAAAGCAACTGTAGCATAGTCTGTAGTTTACCGTTTCTGCAAAAAGACCATCCACCAAAAAGCTTCTGCCACCAAGGAGAAAATTGTTTTGGTAGCACCCTTCAGATTGTGCATGGAAATGTTTGTAAGTTGGTGGCAGGTTAGAGTGGAGGTGAATGGTGGATCTGAAAGGTGAAGGTTGCCAGTTCACATTGAAGGTGTACTCAGGGATGATGTAGTTGGTTTGGTTCACGTTGTGAAAGATGAGTGGAAGAAACTGGTTACTGAATATGCGGAGTTGTAGTAAAAGGTTGAAAAAATGCCCCTGATGTATTTTACTGAGTAGGTAGCAGTTGCCTTATGGAGTAGTGAAGAGGAAAGCTAAACCTAGCAAGATGGAAGGGGCAGAGGGTAAAGAGAACTCTGGTGAGTAGTTCTGTCCTCGCTATGATTAACTTGACTTGGGTTGATCTCATTATTGCCCTTTTCCCAAAGGGATTGTCAGGAATTTTCCCACAGTGCATTTCCCTGTAATTTAAATATTAAAAAATGAAGATGAATTTGAGGAGAGTGAATGTTTTTATAAATTAACTGAATTTTAGCATCTAGTAGAAAAGTAATCGGGATTACTGTGGGACCTATCTGTCAACTGACAAACTTTTTTTTTTTTTTTAATACAGACCAGTTCTTGCTATGTTGCCCAGGCTGGTCTCGAACTACTGGGCTCAAGTGATTTTCCTGCCTTGGCCTCCCAGAGTGCTGGGATTATAGGCATGAGCCACCACACCTGGCCACAAACAGTTTTTTGAGTGCCTATTATATGTGAAGTTTGCAATTAGGCACAAACATGCACTGACATCCAGGAGCTTTTCGTCCAGTTGGAAAGGGTGGGAGGGACAAGCTGTCAACTAATAACATAAAACTTTATTGAGGTACTCATAGAACAGTGCAAGCACAGGTCAGAGGAGAGAGATCATTATGGGCTGGGTTAGTTAGCCTGGCCTTTATGGGAAGAAGAATTTGAACTGAGGTTTGTAAAATTCAATTACAGGAAAAGGGCTGGGGAAGAAGTTCCAGGTAGGGGACACACTGTATGAGCTAAAGCATGAAAAGATGAACCTGTACACAGTTAACTGTTAAAGAACTGGGAGATTTATCCTGCCTGGCAAGAGGATTTGTGTAAGGGAATATTAGGTGCAATTGCAGAATTTGGTCTTGATGTTGTAGGCATTGCAGAGGCATTGAACACATTTAAGAGACTGGTAATGATATTCATGGTGAGTTTTGAGACCTAAAACCAGTAGAGATTGGTTAACCCTCAGTGACAACTGCATTGACATGGAGTCAGGTGGTTCCCACCTTGTGGCCCTCCTTGTGCAACATGCTGTCTTTTACCCTAGGCATGGCCCTTTATAGTCACAGTGATCATTTTCTTTCCACTTCTCATCAGAAAGGAAAACCTTTCACAGGAGCATCCTACAGAATTATTTTTTAATTGGCCAGGATCACTGTTTCCAGAATGGAATAATCATGTTTATCATAGACCAGTGGTCCTTAACCTAACTTTCAAAGTAAGAATCATCTTGGGAACTTAAACAAAACAAACAAACAAAAAAACTGCTGGGGCCAGGTTTTTATTTTATTTTTTTAAAGATCCCCAGATGATTCCACTGTACAGCCAGTATTAAAACCACTGGCTTAGCCTAATCAGAATTCACCACCATCCCCAGGGCAGAGGAAGGTCTTCCTTCTCTGAGAATATAAGACAATGAACATCTGAACAAAACTGGGAGATAGTAAGGAGAGGCAATAGTAATGGAAAGTAATGCTTAGATGTAAAAAGATGCTCTCAAGACGTTATTTACAGAACTCTGTAATATGGAGGATAAGAAAGACAGAAATAATACCATGAGGTTGGAGCTTAGTTGAGGAGGACTATTGAAGTAAGAAAAATAAATATCAACGAAGTAAATCTTTATCTGGCCCATCGAGAAAGGGGCTTGTGGTTTAGACTGAGGTTTTGAAAGATGAATAATGACGGAGAGGCAGTATAGCATGGAGTGACGAAGGCCTCATGCTTTGGAGTCAGAGTGCTTAGGTTCATATTCTTGTTTAGTCACTACTAGGACACAATAATTACTTTATCTTTTGGCATCTAACAAATGAAGATATTAATAGTAGTTACTTCTTGGGGAATGAAATGAGAAAATGCATGAGATGTTCCTTGCGCAGTATTTGGCACATATATTTTAATCTCCCTCTCCCGAGACCTTATTTCATATTACTACTTTTTTTTTTGAAAGCAGGATTTATTAAGAGGACAGAAAAACTCCCACAGTGAGAGGGGACCCGAAGGGGTTGCCCTCATATTACTACTTTTTTAGAGAATTTTATTGCCGGGCGCAGTGGATCACGCCTGTAATCCCAGCACTTGGGGAGACAGAGGTGAGAGGATTGCCTCAGCCCAGGGCAACTTGGCGAGACCTCGTCTCTACAATAAAATAAAAAAATTAGCTGGACATGGTAGCACATGCCTGTAGTTCCAGCTACTTGGAAGGCTGAGGCAGGATTGCCTGAGCCCAGCGGTCGAGGCTGCAGTGCCCATTAGTGTGCCACTGCACTCCAGTCTGGGTGACAGAGTGAGACTCCAACTCAAAAAAAAAGAGGATTTTATTTGTAAAATATTTTATTTCTGATCTAGCCCAAGAAAATTTATACCAGTTTTTATTTGTAGCCACATTATAACCTATATATCTCTACTCTGTAACAATATGGGCCTGGGGCAGACCCATCTACAGATATTATCCATGTGTTTGTCTTCATTCACTAAATGCTTATTGAGCCCCACCTTATTACTGGGTACTGTACTGGCTCTAGGCAGTATAGATCTCTCTGCCTTCAGTCTAGAGAAGAATTTTAAATCCTATACATACATATTTTTTTACTTTTTAAGATCCCGAGTACCATGAGTAAGAGGTTGCTGGATTTGAAATGCTTTGTTAAGCTTTTTTTAAAGCCATGCAATTCTATTTAAGTGTTAGTAATAAGAATGGTTTGCCTTTATTATATTGTAAAGAAATATTTTGTTATTTGTGTTTACTAAAGATGTATAGATAGATAGATATATGCGTGCATATCTCTGACTAAGAATCAACATTTTAGATAACGTTCATGTTATTTTGAGGATTGTCATGACTTTTTAGATTATGTTCATTATTGTTATTTTGGGAGTTGTCATTAGAAAACCTTCAAGAGCTTTAAAAATAAATGGAAATGGGAAATCATTGTGAATTACCTCTTTCTCTTGCTTATATTTATGTCTTTGTAATTGTATAATGTATTAATTTTGACTTTTTTCATTTAGATTTTGATGCATACGAAAGAGATGGTACAGAAGGTAATGCTGGACTTTTTCATTGTATAACAACTCTTAAATATCATAACTGGTGTCGTTTTTGTATTCAAAGACTATTGTAACCCAAACAAACTGGAAATTGCTTCTTAGGATACCTAGTTTACATTTATAATCCCTCCTAATGGATTATAGCTTTTTTCTTTTACTAACACTGATATGATCTAGCCCCTGCTTGAAGCCTATATGTGAGTGTTTCAAGCAAATTAGTAACAGTGCTAATTAGAGTTTATTTCTAGGCCTTTATACTGTATGTGTTCTAGTGTTGTTTGTTATGATTGATTTTTTTTTGGCACTCTTCATGTTCTACTAAATACTGTTTGCAACTGTTAAGAATTTAATATGGATTGGTGCCCCTGAATTTATAAAATCTGTTATGTTTCTGCTTCTTAAATTGCCATGACCACTAAGCATGTGGTACAGTGGGTAAAAATAGACCATGTTTCCTAGTCTCTTATTCTCCGCTTTCTCATTATTCAATTCCATATTTTGTTTCAGTTGAAACTAGACACAATTTCTCTTCCACTCTACTCTCTGTTTTAAAACAATTTGGGAGGTTTTCTTATGTCATGATGTTTGCCTTTCTGGTTTTTATTTATTTATTTATTTATTTTTTAATTTTTAAATTTTTTTGAGTTGGAGTCTCACTCTGTCACCTAGACTGGAGTGCAGTGGCAGTTCCTGGCCACCGCAACCTCGACCTGCTGGGCTCTGGCGATCCTTCTGCCTCAACTTTCCAAGTAGCTGGAACTACAGGCGCGCGCTACCACACCCAGCTAATTTTTGATTTATTGTAGAGATGAGGTCTCGTCAAGTTTCCCAGGTGGGTCTCGAACCCACGGGCTCAGGCCATCCACTGACCTCGGCCTCCCAAAGTACTGGGATTACAGGCTGAGCCACCAAGCCCAGCCGCCTTTCTGGTTTTTAGAAGCCTAATCTTCAATTGTACTCCTTGACAATATGGATGATAATTAACATAAACTTTTGAAAAATGGATGGAACCCTTAATTTCTGTAGTGTGGAAAATCTTTCTTTTTTTTTTCAGTGACAAATATATAGATTAAAATTTTATTGGGGAAAGAACAAAAATTCTGGGAAAATCTTTAGTTTCATTGTGTATAATGATCACTGTGTTTTTGTTGTATAATTTTTGTAATTATTGCTTTTCATTAGATGAATCTTGAAGTTATTTATGGAGATACAGATTCAATTATGATAAATACCAATAGCACCAATCTGGAAGAAGTATTTAAGTTGGGAAACAAGGTGAGATAATTTTATAAAATTTACCTTTCTTTGTGAGTTTTGTTTTTAACATGGAGCACCATAAATTCATGTATATGTGCATGTATGTGCTTCTGAAAATAATAAACTTGATGCTTTTCAATTCATTTTTTTCTATAAACTATACTCCAGTTGTTTGTTTTGAGGATGAAATTCAAAAGCAGTTGTTTTTTTCTTAAATGATAAATACATTTTTCCTTTGAAAACAGTCTAAGTGTTGTAAGATTAAGATGTGGTCATGTTGGTACTTACCACATTATTATTCATAGGGAAATATATATCTGGTAGGATTGACATGCATTTTATAGACAAATACCTACTTACTATGTACATATATGCACATCTGTAATTTTTACAGAAGTACTTAAAATATATTTGAAAAGGCAAAGGAACATTTAAAAGTAATCATTTGTGGCCTCTTAATAGCAATTTACAATAGCAAGTGTTTCTTGCACATTTGCTATGTTAAGATACTGTCTTAATATCCGAAAACTAAGATATCATCTTACAAACTAACAATGTCCTATTTTTTTCCTCCTGGAATGTGTGGAATTTGAACTGTAGTCATCAGTTAAGAGCAAACCTGACATATTGTATTCATATTGGGCCTTGAAAAGTTGTACGCTTTCCCTAGAGGCCATGGTCTGTGTCTTGTACCTGTCATCTGTTTGTCCAGCATGTAGTTATTTGCTTATAGTCAAGGTGTTAAGGGAGGCCTTAGACATTATTTTAACAAAGTTTTACTTATTTAATTTTTGGCCACATATCTGCTTGTTAGACCATCTAATCACTAATAAATTCAATAGTTTGAAGGCAACTACGGTATATATGTATTAAGTCTTTATATTCAAAGAAGACTGCTTCATAATTTTCATATATGCACTGGGGCAGATCCAGCCAGTTTGTCCTTTGTTTGAGTGGTCTAATATATGTATATTGTCTCTATTTTAAAATCTTTTTTCTCTGTGTATTTTTCAATGTCTTTGCATTGTACCCAATATAATATTTTACTTATAAACTGAGTAAATGCATTCTAATCTTGTATGACTTCAAGTTTTGTTTAGATTAACTCCTGGTAATTTGTAACAAGTTCATCTCCCTGTTAGGTGTTTGAAGAGCTAATATATTAATACTTGAAATTTTCACAGGTAAAAAGTGAAGTGAATAAGTTGTACAAATTGCTTGAAATAGATATTGATGGTGTTTTCAAGTCTCTGCTACTGCTGAAGAAAAAGAAATATGCTGCTCTGGTTGTTGAGCCAACATCAGATGGGAATTATTTCACTAAACAGGAGCTGAAAGGATTAGATATAGTTAGAAGAGATTGGTGTGATCTTGCTAAAGACACTGGAAAGTGAGTTCATCTTTCAGTTTTCTTTTTGTTGTTTGTTTTTAAAAATTCAAATGTGAATGACTTGGAGAACACCTACTAGTCTGCCGAGCACAGGAACACAACATTTTTATTATTCTTATTATTTCATATTACCAATTCTTACTTATTTGGAGTGGAATTTTACAGGTAGATTAAAACTTAGAAAAGCCGAACTTACTCAATAAGAAGTGTTTACTCTAAGATATGTCTCATGAGTTTTAACTCATGGTGAGGTAAACCTTTACACTTTAGATCCTTACAGAGTTGGTTTCATTGATGTTGGTTGCTTTTGCTTTGTCGTTCCTATTAGAAAGTACCTTGTTTTGTGCTCCTGAGTCTTCCTACAGCCTTTTTAGGAACCTAATTGTTAAGCTTTTCTCATTTTTTGACTTACAGTGTTCTGGGATTCAAAGTGGTCTGTGGAGTAAGACTTTGTTCTACTCATATCATTTGTATATAAAAGACTTTTACTAATCTGGGTTTAATTTAAGAGCTAGTTCTCAAATACTGTGTGTACCTTGTAAATAATGTTGTGACTGACCCCCTAGCTTTGCACCTGAGACTGAAGATTGTGATAAGACCTGCTTTTTTAAAGGGTCACTTTAATGTGTAAAGCACTGATCTTTTTATTTTTTAAAATTTTAGATTCAGAGGGTACCCGTGCATATTCGTTACATGGACATCTTGTGTAGCAGTCAAAATTGGGTCTCAGGTGCTTCATTCCCCAGATAGTGAACACTGTGCCCCATAGGTAGTTTCTGCACCCTAGCTCCCCTCCCACCCCCTTACTGGTATCTCCAGTGTTTATTATTTCCATCTCTGTGACTGTTTAGTTTCCACATATAGATGAGAACATGTGGTGTTTAGTTTTCTGTTTCTGAGTCAGTTCACTTAAGATAAAGCACTCATTTAAAAAATGAATCTTTAGATACTATCTTTCATGTACTCCTATTTTGTGAACTTGATCACTTCTGAAAATAGAAGAATTTTTTTCTTTAAAGCTAAATTTAAAATTGATTTTAATATTGCTGAATATCAGCGTGTTTTGTTTTCCCATCTTCCTCATGCTTTCGAGTTGGGAGATTGGACAATTGTTGCTTCTGCAAAACTACTCTTGATTAGGCAAAGTTGATCATCTTAGTATAGATCACTGTTAGCCTTTTATAAAATGTAGTTTGAAATGCTTCATTGCCCCCAAATATACCCAAAGATGCAACTACTTTGTATAGACTGTCGATTAGAGTGTTCTCTTCAGCTTTGTGTTTTCTAAGAAAAGATGCATCATAATAGAAGTAAATTTCTCTGAGTTAGAAATGTATTAGTAATTAAAGCTATACAAATGTTTTTGTCAGAGTTCTTTTTCTGACAAATTATAATGCAGCTGTCAAACCCTCACTCTGTATTTTTCTCAGAAATGGATAAAATATTTGCTTCCTTACTCGTTTTGTTTTTCTTTTTCCTTTGGGTGTAGTTGAATAACATAAAGTTTTTAAAGGATAGCAGAAGGTTGGAGAACTGAGAGATATAATGAAGCTGAAGAAAGAAAAATTTGAAATCTTTTGTTTTTTAAAAAAAATCATGCAAAGAGCTTTACACTTATACTCATCTAGCTAATGGTTGTCTCAGGTGGAGATGATATCAGGGATAATATCTTTATGGGAAAAGTGAAATATTTGTCATCTAAAATTTTAACTTATAGGTAGACTATAACTGGTTGTGAATTTTGTTGTGTAAAAATATAATGGGACACATACTTTTCTCCATTGTATTTTCTGTGTAGTATTAGCTGCCACATAAAAGAATGACATTCCAAGGTTGGCAAACCTTTGGTAGAGTTAGTGTTAAAAAATAAATTGTGACTGCCTTTTGGACATTAACTCTCAAATTAGCTCTTAGAGTAGCTCTTGTCCACATGTGAATCTGATGGCATTTATTTTCCTTTACTCTCCATTGTTAATAAAATATGATATTTTTAAAAATCAATCTTTTTTTGCAGCTTTGTCATTGGCCAGATTCTTTCTGATCAAAGCCGGGATACTATAGTGGAAAACATTCAGAAGAGGTTAATAGAAATTGGAGAAAATGTGCTAAATGGCAGTGTCCCAGTGAGCCAGTTTGAAATTAACAAGGTAAATGTAGCATTTATTGCTGAGCCCAGCTGCTGTCATGTGTTTTTCTCCTCCTTCAGATAGTTGAAGAACCACCTCATCCTTGCAATTGAAATAAATTCTAGCTGGTGATGAAAGCTGCTTACCAACTATCTCACAGATTGAGCATTAGCATACCTCTTCCAGCCACAGGTACTGCCGCATCTGTCACAGAGACCTTTTTTCTCTATTCCTTATTTTAATTCTTGGAAGCCTAATTTCTGGAGGTCCTATGGTGGTATAGTTTATGTATTGGGTACTAGGAATACTACCTTATTCATAGTTCTCCTAGGTAATAATTATTTGGATCATGGGCCTGTAAGCTTAGTGTGTGCATGTGCCTTCGTGTGTGTTTGTATATCTAACTTCACAGATAGTGATTCTTAGAGGTACTGTAATCAGAAGGCTTTTGGGGACAAAATTATTTAGAATTAAGATGGTGGTAGGCCGGGCTCGGTGGCTCAGCCTGTAATCCCAGCACTTTGGGAGGCCAAGGCAAGTGGATTACTTGAGCCCATGGGTTCGAGACCAGTCCAGGCAACTTGGCAAGACCTCATCTCTACAATAAATCAAAAATTAGCCAGGTGAGGTAGTGTGTGCCTGTAGTTCCAGCTACTTAGAAAGTTGAGGTGGAAGGATTGCTGGAGCCCAGCAGGTCGATGCTGGAGTGGCCATGGGTGGAGGAATGAGACTCCTACTCAAAAAAAAAAAAAAAAAAAAGGTGGTAACACTTTCTGTATATTCAAAGCACTTGTGCTTTTAAAAAAAAATTATATAAGTTACACTTGATGTACAGTCTTAATTTTTGAAAACAGAGAGCATTTTTTTCTTACCTAACTTGAAAAACAAAAAATTTTGGTTTCTAAAATGCTGTGTAATAAGCAAGATGTTAGGTTATAGATTTTTTTTTCATTTAAAAAGAGTACCCTTACATATTCAGAAGCTAATTTTGCAAATACCATGTTACCCGTTTTGTGATGAATTTCGTTGTCAAAGCTCATACAAAAAATTTTAATGAAAAAGAATCTATTGCTGACATTAAATGGAAGTTTTAGAATGAAAACTCATTCATAATACCCCTATGCCAAGGTAACGCTTGTCACTTTATCACATTTTCTTCCTCTTGAAAACATATTTTTACATTCAGGCAGTTACAATATGTTATTTAGAAATCTATTTTCATTTAACATAAAAATTTTTTCACATTTCTGTATTATCTTAAAAATAATCAAGTTAATTGGTGTATTGATCTTCTATTTTATGGATACATCGTTATTTAACATTTCTTTGTTGATTATTAAAATATTTATTTTTTTCTATTGTAAATAACTGTTGAACATCTTCGTTTACTTGTCTTTTTGCTTTTGTTTTTGGATGAGTTACTTTGTAATTTTAGGTTCCTTGAAATATTTAAGTCAAAAAATATGAATAACTATATGGCTCTTGCCAAATTGCTTTGTAAAAGGATGATACGGATTGACAATAGCAAAATGTGTGTGCCAGTTTTACCACAGCTTTGCTTGTAGTGGTGATGATATTTAAATAAAGCTTTGCCAATATAATAGATATGAAACTATATTCCACAGTTGGATTTAATTTGCATTTTTTTAATTCCTAGAAGGGATGAATATTTTCTATGTATATCCTTACAATTTATATTTATTCTTAGGTAAGTTGTTTGTTTCCTACACCTTGACCATGATATCTTTAATGTTACAAAAGAAGACATTCATTTATACCTTACGAGGGGACATGTGCTTTGGCATTAACTTTCCACTTTAAATGATACAGTGTACACGTATTGGCATAGAATCACTTGTGTCATCTAGACAGTAGTTCCTTTTAGATTTTGTTTTATTTCTTTCCCCAAAATTTGCACAAGTAAGAGTTATGACTTTTTTAAAAAAGCAAAAAAATGGAAAAAAAAGAGTTATGATTTAAGTCTTCTTTTGGTCAATTTTTGCATTGATTCTGCATATTGTATCCTTGATCCTGTCTACTTTCCTAGAAATGTGCCTTTCTATCACAAGAGTTCCAGGAATGAGTCTGAGCATGACTACATTGTTGGCAAAATAACACTGAGCACACATACTATAGGATAATGAATCCACAGTGTCATCCTCTCATATGAATGATGACACACTGTTACTAGTGTGCAAGAAGGAGCCTAGAGTCATAGATAACACTGAAAATTTCTAGTTTTTGCTTAATAGCTTATATCACTTATTATTTTTAATTATTATTGAAATTTTGAAACTTACACAAAAGTAGAAAGCATGGTATCATGAATCCCAATGTTTACATCACTCAGCTTCAATAATTCACAACTTATAGTGATATTTTATTATTACTAATAATAGTTAATACTGTCTAGTGTGATAGGGGCTGTGCATACATTTTTCTGTGGCAGAACTTAAACTGATTTACTGTCTTAGTCTTCACATCACTTAGCATAGTTGTTGCAAATAATATTTATTCAGTGAGCATTGAAAGAATTCATTTACTTGTTTAATCATTAATTCAGCAAACATGGAATACCTCTTCTGTATACAGTGCTAGATTCTGGGATTTAAAGTTGAATAAGGAGAACAGGTTTCATATTTTCAAGATGCTAATGGTCTATTGAAGGTGTTTACTGTCCCATATTCTTACATTTTTTAGTAAAAAATTTCTGCAGTGTTAATGTAAGTACAGTAAATTCTAACGACAGGACTATATCATAGTTATAGTTCTGTGTCTAGTTACAGTAAGCTATTGATATGTCAAAGGTAATGTGTACTTCTGATGATCCTTAACATTTGTCTGGATACTTGTACTGTTTAAAACTTGTGAACAATTCAGTTTCTACATTCTACTGCGTTTGAGTGAAATGGAAGAGTCTATATATATAGTGACTGGTTGTAGATAGTCTCATGACAGGACGGGCTTTTTGTCTTTTTATTTTTATCGTTTTTTTTAAGGTGATGCTGGTTGGGGCTTGAAAATGACAGGTTAGTTTAGGGTGGAGGCATGTGTCAAGTGGTGGGATTTACCTTTAGAGACTTTAGCTCTTGTTACCAAAAGCAACTGAAAAGCAGCATGTGTGATTTTGCTGAACTACTGCAATCTTAGCTTAAATATATTTCATAAAGTAACACAAAATACTTCACAACTGATTTTTATAGCCCTAACTAACTTGAGCCTAAACCATCAGGAAGCTTTTTTTTTTAAATGAAGCTTTCTAAAATAGCTTATAAAATCCCCAAATAGTTTCAATCTAATAATTGGAAAGTGTGTCAGCTAAAATTCAGAATTTCTTAATGTTACACTGAAGAATAGTCATTTGAAGAAGATAATAATTTCCTTAAGTAGAGTTACACCAATTAAGTATTGCCTGACCAAGTCAATTAATACTTCACATTATCCAGATTTAAGGAGATTCAGATACTTAGAGTGTTTCCTAGGCACTCTCCTACACTGAGTATAGGATTTAGGAAGCATATATAACTTGGCCATGTGCAGTTATATTTGAGGACCTGCTTTATTCTTCTACATCATTTCTCAGAGTTCTTAATCTCAGAGTACCTTTATGTTCTAAAATAAATGAAGACTCCAAGACTTTTGTTTGTGCAGTTTATGTTGATAGTCAGTGTGTTAGGAATCTAAAAGCATTTATTTATTTTAAAATAGCAATAAACCCATTACATGATTACAAAAACATGTCTTCATGAAAAATATATATTTTTTAAAAAAGAAAAATTAACCAAAGGAGTGGCATCATTTTACAATTCTGCAGATCTCTTTGAGTCTAGCTTAGTAGAAGACATCTGAATTTTCATATCTGTTTCTGCATCCAGTATGTTTTGATGTTTGATTTTAGTTGAAGTATAGGAAGAAAATAAAATTTCACCCAGACATGTAGTTGGAAAAAGAAGTATTTTCGTAATTTTTTCTGATAATTGTAATATTCTTCTGTGGTTTTGCACCAAAACTTTACAAATGATATTTTCTTAAGACTTATTTGTAATGTGTTATCTGAAACCATATCAACTAACTTTTCATACACGTTTACATAAAATCTATTGGTCTATGTTGTGCTTTGAATTTATGTTTTACGCATGCATGACATTGTTAAATGTTGGTTCCCTCAATTATGCAGATCTTCTAGAACTGACACATTTCACTGTACACTAACAAAAATCATATTTTAAAATATTCCTACTTATATCAGAAAAGTCTTTAAGGATTGGGAAACTGTCAGGCTCACAGGGACGGAAACAAGTTTTCTAAAATTTGAATTTGTGCTTGATAGCTTGAATTTTATCACTGACAATATATATTGTCAGGTTTTTTTCCTTGAAGTGACGGACTTACTTGGTTGTGTTTGAGAAATTGTCTGCCAGATACCCAAGTCAGAATAACAATAGTTTGCCCGTTATTCTTTCAAATAAAAATTGTATTCTATGAAAAAGGCAGCTAGTTTAGCTTGCAACTCAGTTGTCCAAATGCTTTTCTTTGAGTAACTTTGTTCTTCAGGTGTGCCTTGTGTGTACTTTCACACAAAATGGTAGACTTGTACTCAGGATTGAGAGCTTTAAAAATTATTAATTTTTAAAGCTGGGCTCGGTGGCTCAGCCTGTAATCCCGCACCTTTGGGAGGCCGAGGTGAGTGGATTGCCTGAGCCCGCGGGTTCGAGACCCGCTTGGGCAACTTGGCGATACCTCATCTCTACAATAAATCACAAAATTAGCCGGGCGTGGTAGTGTGCGCCTGTAGTTCCAGCTACTTGGAAGGCTGAGGCGGAAGGATCGCCGGAGCCCAACAGGTCGAGGTTGCAGTGGCTGGGAGCAGCCACTGCACTCCAGTCTGGGTGACAGAGTAAGACTCCAACTCAAAAAAAAAAAAAAATTAATTTTTACTGCTTCATCAAGAATATTCTAAAGTGACAGTGGTTTATTTTATTTTATATTTTATTTTAACTGTTCATGGTAATAAAGAATATAGTGACTGTTAGTACAGTTTGGTGCTGTGGCCCTGATTCATGTTTATAAGGCACCAGCAGTTTTATTGACCATTGTTTTCATATCATCGGTACAGATAATATTGTTATGAAAATAGTTTTGATCTTGTGACTCCCAGAAAGGATGTCAGGAACCCCCAGGGCTCTGCAGGACGGCCACACTTGGAGAATAGATGAGTTTGTCAAGCAGAATCCTCATTCCCATCCTTTTTCTTGTCTTTTGAAACCCACCCCTACTAGAGCTGGTTATTTCCCTCCTTCCCTTCATATATATTGAGATCTAGTCTAATATACTGTGTCTTTTCTCACCCCTTGCCTTTAAATTTTGCTTGTCTCTCTGCCTGGAATATTCTTACCCCTATACATTTTCCTAAAATCTTTTTTTTCTTTCAAGTACCAGCTTAAGTTTTTGTCTTCCATGATTTCTGCTTTCAGATAGAAGTGATTCTTACCTCTCTAAACTCTCTCCATAGTGCTTTGTTCATATCTCCCTTATAGCACATATAGTTCAGAGTTTTCTCGGGAGGTGGTGTGGGGTAGAGAGTCTTCTATTAATAGCAGATGACTTAATACCAGTGACTGTGTCTTACTTATCCCGTAATACTTTACAGTACTTGAACAGATTATTCTGTAAATTATTGCAGAGTAGATGAAATAATTTATTCAGCAAACATTTGACTGCCAGTGTACACCAAGAATTGTTTGGAACACATTGTAACTATGAGCAAGACTGACATTGTTCCTGCTCTCGTGGGGCTTACTTTCTGTTAAACAAACTCATTCTGCTTCTGTAGAGTTTACATTGACAGTGTGAGTAAATCCAGTGATTTCTGGTGCCTTTGAGATTTATTGTGGTTAGGGGAGCCTTTGAGAAACAGATCATTAAGTCAGAGTAGTCATTATTCATCAGTCTCAACTAATCAGTTAATTCGGTGAGAGAATTGCAAACATTGGGAGAAACTCTAAGGCTGCATAGTAGTCTTAATTCTTAATTTTTTTTATCCCCAAGTATTATGAGACATGGCCCATAAGTTTATATTTCTGTTTTTGTCAGAGTTGCATTTCGTTAACTACTAAATGACGGAGAGAGAAGCCTTGGGGATGGGATGATTAAAGATTCTGTGGCGGCTGGGCTCGGTGGCTCAGCCTGTAATCCCACACTTTGGGAGGCTGAGGTGAGTGAATGCCTGAGCATGCGGGTTCGAGACCCGCCTGGGCAACTTGGCGCTACCTCATCTCTATAATAAATCGAAAAAAAATTAGCCGGGCGTGGTAGCGCGCGCCTGTTGTTCCAGCTACTTGGAAGGCTGAGACGGAAGGATTGCCGGAGCCCAGCAGGTCGAGGCTGTAGTGACTGGGAGCGTGCCACTGCACTCCAGTCTGAGCCATGGAGTGAGACTCCAACTCAAAAAAAAAAAAAAAAAGATTCTATGGCAATGTTTTCTACATACAGTTTCTGTCATTTTTGTGTTTATCTGGCTAGTATCATACTAGCAAAGATGTATTTAGCGTATATCTGTGTGAGAAGGGTTTTATTTTAAAGCTTAGGGCTTTTTTGTTCCCTCTTTTTCTCTTTTAGGCATTGACAAAGGATCCCCAGGATTACCCTGATAAAAAAAGCCTACCTCATGTCCATGTTGCCCTCTGGATAAATTCTCAAGGAGGGAGAAAGGTGAAAGCTGGAGATACTGTGTCATATGTCATCTGTCAGGTAAACTATTACAATTCAGAAGACTCTGATACCTCTGAAGAACTGATGCTTGCATAGATATTGTTTAGTGTGGTTAGTTTTACAGCATTTAGAAAATGTTCATCAGTGGTATAGCATATTTCATTAGGATTTTTATAAAACATTTAAGACCAGTGTTTTCATTCATTAAAATTATTTGATAAGTTTGTAACATTGGCTACTATTTTAACCCTAAATTAACTTTAATGAAGATATGGGTTAGTTTGGTCATACGTTCAGCAGCAATCTTTTATTATTCCTTTTGCAACAGTTTCCATTATGAATACCAGTGGAATAATAAGAGATTAAAGGCATTTTTCCTAACCTGTGTCCAAATAATTATTTGACAAAAATATTAAGTGCATGATTATATGGAGAAAGTTGGGAGATCTTAAATACATCCCTTATGAAGAAAACATATGATTCAACCAGTTTGATTTCTTTTTTTCTTGAGTGGAGAGGACTACTTCCTTGCCTTCTCCCTGTTTCTTAAGGCATATCTAAGGAACCTCTAGGCCTTCTGGATAAATTTTAAAACAGTGTGAGTTTCTCTTGAGAATAGCATGCCTCTAACAGGAGTGGAGAGAGAGGATAAGACAGAAGAGCAGTTTTTTTTTTCTTTTTTCTTTGAAAGCACTTAACTCCAACTGGAACAAAGGAGAGTGCATGTCCCTTCTCCTTATAAAGGAAGTCAGGGTCATAGCCTTTATTGAAATTCTTTTTTTTTTTTTTTTGAGTTGGAGTCTCACTCTGCCCAGACTGGAGTGCAGTGACCACTCCTGGCCACCACAGCCTCGACCTGCTGGGCTCCAGCGATCCTTCCGCTTCAGCCTTCCAAGTAGCTGGAGCTACAGGTGCGCGCTACCACGCTGGGTTAATTTTTTGATTTATTGTAGAGATGAGGTCTCACCAAGTTGCCCTGGCGGGTCTTGAACCCGTGGGCTCAGGCATTCCACTCACCTCAGCCTCCCAACATGCGTGATTATAGGCTGAACCAAAATTCCTATTGTGTGGACTTTTTATCACAAGGCATAACTTATCTGGATAAGACTGTTTTTTAAAAAATTATGTTCTATCCTAATTTTCATTGCATTGTGTTTTTACAGTAAAAAATATTTTAGATAAACCTTAAACTTTATTGCATTATGACTGATCTTTGGCAAGCTATAGTCAATGTATTTTTAAATCAGAGTCAAAAGTAATCTGCTAATATCTGTTATATACTGCAGATGATGTACATAACAAATGATTTAAGTACACGGACAGGAATCAGCACTTGACTCTGTCTCCCTCCTAGGGTTACCCTTGATTAAGAACTGTTAGAGAAAGCCAATTCCTGCAGGAAAATATTTCCATAAATGCCTGACTCGCTCAAGACCTTAATATGCTTTGCATATTGCCTCTGACAAGTCTCATCTCAAAAAAACAATTTTCATATTATGCAAATAAAGATTTTGGTAAATAGGCTAGGTTTTTTTCACTTATGTCTTTACATACATGGAAAAGCTCTTAGATTATTAATGACAAGAGCAGATGGCAGTATACACAACTTTGAACATTTATATAGGTTCAGTGAAATAGCATCTAATAATGAAATCAAGCCAGAGTTATGTTTTGGCTCAACCTGGAGTGGTTTATTATCTGTCTGATAATTTATAAAATAGGATAATCAATGTATTTAAAGCTCAGTCTTATGTTCCTTGATGTCTGTATATTAGTTCTTATGATTTCTTTTTCTTGGGTCTTATTGACATATAAAGGCTCAAAATGCTAATGCTAGTGTAGAACAACACACCCAGTTTGATGTAGTTTAACCATTTTCCCCATCCACTGGTACTAGGCCTTAATTTATTTGCTTTTTGAAAGTATAGTTTATATTTCTTTTTATTAATTTACTCTCCTTAGCTTATCCCAAGAAAGCCTATAACTTTCAGCATGTTTGATATCTACAGCTGTGTACCTTTTTTGCTAAAAACATTATTATTTCCATGTTTTATAACACAACTATATTTTAGAATATGCTTTTGAAAAATGTATGACAGCAGATTTTTAAGAGGACTATTTGTTGCCCTAAGCAAAGGTGCCATCCAAGAATAGCCTGTCTTCTAAACAGATTTTGTTTAAAATTTATATTTAGAATATAGTACCATACTGATAACTTATTCAGACTACAAATTCAGATGAGTTAAGAAAGTAATGTTTTTGGTATCTCATCTTATCTCTTGTTAATCCTACATGAATTATGTGCTCAGATGTTAAATCAGCTTTTTTGACGGCTGAATTTTAACTATTTAATTATTTAACTTTCATTAGACATAATTTCTGTAAGGCATGCCTTTAATATAATTGTTTGAAGGGGCCAGCTTGTCACCAGTTTAAACTTTTTTCCTGTTTATTTTCCTGCTAACGATAGCTGCATAGTTTTGAATGAAACGACTGCACCTAGTTGTCTCTCTTAAATATGTACTTTGTGATGTTCAGGAATTACTACCTGGGTGTTTGGAGAAGACCAGTGTTGCTTCTTATCTGTTCTTAAAGGTGTATGCTATATGTTCTTACATATGTCATGGGATCTTGCTCAGGCTTGAGCATTGGGTCTTTGAAGATATATCTTAGGTCATAGCCTAAATGTTTTTCCAACACAACATATTAAAACCTGTTACTTAACCAAGTTTCTTAAATGTAACCATATTTGAGCTTAGATTTTTAAAATGCAGTAAGAAGCCTGTTTGGGTCATTGTTTATTAAAACTATCAGTTGTGTGAATATTTAAAATAAAAACATTTGAAACTGAAAGTATGCTCAGAAAATTGTTCGGTTTTTTCTTTTTTTAAACATGCTTTACTGTGAGAACTTCTACTGATATATTGGAAAATAACTTAAGTATCTTTAAAAAAAATCTTGCCTCTACAAGTTTTATTTTTATTATTTTTTATTTTAAATTCAGGGGATACATGTGCAGATTTGTTATGTGAGTATATTGTGTGATAGTGAGGTTTGGGTTTCTGTTGAACTCATCACCCAAACAGTGAACATGATACCCAATAGGTAGCTTTTTAACCCTTCTTCTTTCCCTTCCTCTCCTCTTTAGGAGTCCCCAGTGTCCGTTCTCATCTTTATGTCTGTGTGTACCCAGTGTTTAGCTTCCATTTATAAGTGCGAATATGTGGTATTTGGTTTTCTGAAATTTGATTTTAATTCACTATTAAACATTATTAAGCTCAACATTGCTATAATCTTAATGATAGACTAGTTTTTCAAAACTCTATAAATCAATCCGATTTTATGTGTTTGTTAAAAGGCAGTCTGAATGTAGTTGTGGCATGTGAAGATACTGCTCAAGGGGTTTTTCACATGGTTTTTGTCATTGACTGTTGCCTTATTCTCATCTAATAATTGAAACTTCTAAAAGGGCAACAAACTTGACTAATTCTGTGTTCTGAACTCCTGAAAAATAATAATAAACAAGTCTTTTAATTTGAGGTTTGCTTCCTTTCTAGGTATTTAATTTTATTTTAGAATAAATAGAGCCTAGTTGATAAACAGCCCCAGTTTGTTTCCATCAGGAGCCTAGCCAGAGAAAGAGGCCTCTGCTTCTGGTCTCGGGTAAAGACAGTGGTGTGGAAGGTTGCCTCTGCTTTGGGCTGGGTGTTGAACTCAGAAATGACTGCTTGTAGCAGGAATGAAAGAAGGGGATTCACATTATAATCAGTTCTGCCGAGCAGCTGAGCACGGTGAATAGTTATAATTTACTAGTCTGAATGTTAAATTCTGTTGTTTCAGGCAAGAGGAAGAGTAGAATGAGTTGTTGGTTGTTGATCCAGTAGTGTGATGACTTTTTGGTTCACAGATGTGACATCACCCACAAGGCTGTATGTAGGCCAATTATGTAGAATTTCACAGCATTTATTTTTAATAGCGTAAAAAAAGAAGCACTTGTGAAGAGGCTTTCTGATTCATCTTCCTTTCCTTGAGGAGGAGCCAGGTAAATGGCACAAAATACCATACTTTTCATTCCAGTGGCCAGATATTTGGCTGTTAGAGCCCTGCCACTCTACGAGGACACCACATTATTTTTCCTCATACTAACTATATCTTACATATAAATTACTACTCTAAGGTTTTTATCCCCCTTTTTCCCTCGTTCATTTGCTTCTCAATTATACATAAAGCTCTCATAGAAACTACTACCCCTTTCTTTAAGCTGACTGGAATTCTTGCCTGAAGGGATCATATATTTTAACATAATAAAAAAGACCATACATATGCTTTTTAAAAAATTATCACTCCTTAAAAAACCTTTCTAGGTTGGGTGTGGTCCATGCCTATAATCCCAGCACTTTGGGAAATTAAGGAGGGTTGCTGGAGCCCAGGAGTTTGAGACCATCCTAGGCAACATAGCGAGACTCTGTCTTTACAAAAATTAAAAAATTCCAGGTGTGGTGTTACATGCCTATAGACCCAGCTACTTGGAAGGCTGAGGTGGGAGGATCACCTGAGCCCAGAAGTTTGAGGTTGTGGTAGGCCGTGATTGTGCCACTGCACTCCTGTCTAGGTGACAAAATGAGACTCCGACTCACAAAAAATAAAAAATAAAAAGCCTTTCTGACTAGACTAATTGTTACCAAGTCTTTTCATTGTGTTTTTGTGGTGTGGCAGGTAAGATTATTTAATCTAGTCAGTGCTGTCTTGTTGGTTTCTTGTTTTGACAAAAAATATAACAGCATATGCTGGATTTACATTCTTGGACAGTGGACCATATTGAGATCAAGAAGTTTTTGAGATCTCAAGATCAAGACATTCTTTTTGATTTTCCTACTCAAAATGTTCAACTTTAGGTCAAAAAGACTCCTTTGTGTTTAGAAGTAAATACATAAAATTTCAGTTGTTGTCCCTGTGTTTGACCAAGCATTTGTGATTGACTTGCTCACATCTTCACCCATGTCTTCTTTTTACATGTGTCTTTTTACCATGTCTTCTTTTAGGATGGATCAAACCTCAGTGCAAGTCAGAGGGCTTATGCACCTGAGCAATTGCAGAAACAGGATAATCTAACCATTGACAACCAGTACTACCTGGCTCAGCAGGTCCACCCAGTTGTGGCTCGGATCTGTGAACCAATAGATGGAATTGATGCTGTTCTCGTTGCAACATGGTTAGGTAAGTGTCCCAAGCTCACATACACCATTACATGCTAACAGCAGCTCATGCAGTCCTCCTTTGACTCTTGAGATCCTTGTTTATGGGTATAATATTGTGTCTGGCACTTTGTTGTTTATAGTTAGGAATTTATTTTTGTGGTTGTGTGGTTACTGTTTGTCTTCCCTTATATACTATGAACTCCACATACTTGCTACCTCTGTAACCACATGCCTGATCCATAGTTGGCACTCATTAAATTCTGAGGGAAGAGAGAGATGGAAAAAGAAAGGGTGAAGAGAAGATTATAGGCACCATTGTAGTCATTGAGTTTATGTTGTGATAGTTTTAATTAATGAACTTGCGCACTGGTTCATCTTGTCTCTGTCTCTAAAGGTATTTTCATGTAAAGTGAGAAAACACACCTTTTTAACATAAACATTTTAGTTTTTAATATTTAATTACCTGTGAGCTTTAAATTCTAAAACTGGACTTGCTGTTATCCTAGGAATTGACTGATTCCTAAGTTCTCATCCTCCTAGGAATTGCCAGCAAACTCTGAGACCTCAGAATTTCTTTTCCTTTTTGTGGTGTCACCAGATTGTCCCCATTGCTATGTCATCATTATTATTGTCACCTTTTGGTTAGAAATGTATTTCATAACCATCCCTGATTCCATTTTTAGATGACCAGTACATAAAGAGTTATATTGCTTTTAAGGTCTCTGATCTCTATATAAAAATAGAGATAAGCAAAGATGAATGTTTTTAGGAAAATACTACCAAATAAAGTCCTGAGCTGATTCTTCACTCACTGTCGAAGTCAAGTCCAGACACCCACTGGCATCTCACAGACTCTTAACTTTGGCAATAAGAGACTAACTTTCTAGCTCCCACCTATTATATCCAGCCTTATTTCTTATTCAGTCCACACTGTGTCTCCTAAATACGGCATTGCTCATTCTGTTCCTGCTTCATGGAAAATTTTCTCCCTCCTTTCACTAAAACATCTGGCTTTAGCCACGGGATTTGGCATCATAGGAATCTGGGTTTGAATGCTGGTTCTCCTATTCATGAACTTCTGAACTTTGGTCTACACCTTGGTTCTTTGAGTCATAGAATAGAGCTACTCTGAGGAAGAAACAAGATGATGCATGTGAGATGCTCAGCACAGGGCCTAGGGAAGAGGGGATGCTTAGTGCGTGGTGCTAGTAGCTACCTCCTGCCCTCCTTTTATAAAAGTTTTAATAGAAATATATTCATACTCCTTCAGTCTGTAGGATTTGCTTGTAGTTAGTGCTCACTATGTGCTTGTGGAATGAGATTGGCTTTTCTGCAGAAGAATTATCAAGTCACATATTTTCCATCCTGCCCCTGTTGAGTATTTTTCTGAGCTCCTCCCTGCCACCCCCTCACCACTACTGCATCAGTGTCTACTCTGGAAGTGGAAACTCATTTTTGACATTTGCCTAAGCAAAACATAATTAAGAAGATAAAATTCTGCTACCAAAATAATCATATAATGTATTCTCCAAGTTGAGTTGTATTTGATGATGTTTATAAATCCTCAGCTGGGAGGAGGGGACTGTAAATGCAAGATTATTTTAGCTTCATTTTTTCCCCTCTCTCCTATACATTGAGTGCTTACTCTATTGGATGCTGTGATAAGCACTTTGCATATGTTATCTCATTCAATCCTTGCAAAAGCCTTATGAGAATATGTTACATTACTCCATTTTATAGAAAAAGCTGAAACTTAGAGAGGTAGCTAACTTGGTCTTGTCACATAGCTATTAAGTGGCCAGCTGTGATTGGATTTTAACCCAGCTCTGTGATTCCAAAGGTTGTACTTTCAATCACTGTGCTAAAACTTTATTGCCTCTTCTTAGCCCTGAGAAGGCTATAAGAGATATTTTCAACCAGGAATGGGATGGCATGGATGTACAAGCACAGGGAGCTTCATCTTCTTGCTCCCTCCATTTCCATTGGGCACCTCCCCCTCCCACCCCTACTCGTAACCTCTGGCTAAAACCAATGTAGAAATTTTTATTTATTTCAATAACTTTAGGGGGTACAAATAGTTTTTTGCTACATGGTTTCATTTTATAGTGACAAAGAATTATGGGCTTTAATGTACCCACCACTCCCAACTGTGCACATTGTACCAGATAGGTGATTTTTTGTCCCCCCACTCCTTCCCCTCCTCCCCCTTCTGAGTCTCCAGTGTCCATTATACCATTCTCTATGCCTTTGCAGACCCTTAGTTTAGCTTCCACTTATAAGTGAGAACCTGCAGTGTTTGGTTTTCTGCTCCAAGTTGCTGCAAAAGACATTATTTCATTCTTTTTGACAACTGAATAGTATTTCATAGTGTATATATACCACATTTGCATTATTCACTGGTCAGTTGATGGACATTTATGTTGATTTCACATCTTTGCAATTGTGAATTGTGCTGCAGTGAACATATGAGTGCAGGCATCTTTTTGTATTTAATGAACTCTGTTCCTTTGGGTAGATAGCTAGTAGTAAGATGGATGGAACAAATGGTAGATCTACTTTTAGATCTTTGAGAAATCTCCATACCAATTTCCATGGAGTTTGTACTAATTTACACTCCTACCAACAATGTTTAAGTGGGTAAAACCAATTTTTAAAGAGTAGTTTTCCCATGTCTTCAAGAAACTGGTCTAAATGCAAACTGTTGCCCTTTTTTCTTTGGTTTTGAACTTTCCAGTGGTCCTACTAGTACTGAGAGGGGACAGGTGGAAAAAGGCCTGTCTCATGAATGACATTTAAGAGAAAGAAGTATGGAGCCTTGTAGTTCAGTAAAAGAACTGGACAATAAAGGGTGATGGAGCCTGCCTGGGTGGATAGACCTGATGCCCACTCATATATGTCAAGACTAGTCATATCACAAGGGGACCAGGCTGATTTTGTTAGTTCCTGAAGTTATAGTTAAGATAATTTTTGTTTATAAATTGAACAGTGGGCGGGTTTTGACTTGCTTAAAGATACTTTATCATAACTGCCACTGCCTTATGATCATAGACTGCCTTATGAATTCAGTTTTCACAAATTATTTTCAAAGACAATAGTAGACAAGCTGGCCCCATCTTCAGAGGTTTTGTGTTATGTCTCATTACTGACCAATCTCAATCTACAGAGAGAACCCTTCGGACTTGCACATGGTCCCACTATGCGCCCCTCTCCCTACAGCATAACCGAAAAGTCCTCTAGGCACAGCTATGGCTATATGGACACTATTCTGGGCAGCGCCTTCTAATGGAAGGGCAATTCCTGTTTTTAGCTGCGTTTTCTTATTTTTCTCTTCTGTCACTTTACAGCAGTTTTCATACTAAGGATATGTGAAGTTGTCATCGTTGTATAGTCCTTCTCCCACCCTACTCTGCCAGCACCAACACGTCTACATTAGTAACAACATATCTACATTAGTAACAATCTTTTAGCCCTTTACCTCTGCCCCTTTCTACACAGGAGGTTAAGCATTAATGAAGTATAGGCCCCAAAGTCCCTGTTACCATGAAGAGCTGTAGAAAACATTGATGCTCGCCCAGCAGATCTCTGCAGGGATTTGCCTCCTGCTCTATTCAGAAGCTGAATTTTTTTATCTGCACCCTTTATTCCTTCAACCCAAGTGAAATATTAGGGTGGCTGTTCAGTAGGGGCTTCAAGGCCCCGGTTATCAGTTCTTCTGTAGCCTGTGGTTTTTGAGAGGAGGAGGGAGGAGATGGGATGTGGTAACAAAGTAAGAGAAGTGTTGGGGGGTACATGATTTCTAAGAGGTGCAAGCTGTAGGCATAAAATTACTGTAATTTGTTTTTAAAATTCTAAATCTGTTTTCTTTATATTAAAAAAACCGCAGTTAGTGAACTGACACTGTTAAGTAAGTTGAAGTGTACAAATGTATACATAAAATACAAGCCCTCCAACTGCCTAATCACAGACATAAAATAATTCTTTTGCTTTTAATGTGGTTTTTATCTTTGATTAATGAAATGTTTTACAGTATTGAAACTTTAGTAAAGTTTGATACTTTGTCCATTTAGTTAGTACAAAGAAATCAGGAATAATGGCATAATTTCATTTAGGAAAATTATTAAGTTCATGATTTTTTATTTTTAAGACTCTTTTGTGGAGAGCAACTATATTTTTCAACTACCTTTTTCTTTTTCTATTGCTTTTATATTGCTTTTCTTGAAATGAAAGGCAAGCATCAAGTGTTGGTTTTATTTTGTGGCTTCACTTTGGAAATTCTCTATTTCTCCCCATCAAGATACCTCCTGAAGTCTGTCTGGTGGCATTTTGCATGGCCAGGTGTTCCGTATGGGAAGGCCATTTTAGTGAAAAGGAAAGAGGATAGTCTATTAAATGAGTGAATGAATAAGTCTGTTGAATTGAAAGAGAATAATTTGTTCTCTCTAATAACTAATGGTTCTCATTATCCCACAGTAAAATATGCATCGTTTTTCTGAAACCCATGTAAGATTATTACTATTGGGCTTAAATAAAGCAAAATTTTACTCTTTTCCATTTGTGAATAGGAAAAAATATAGTATTACTCTTCTTATACAATAACCCTATGGGAAACATGGCCATTAAAACTTGGAACTCTTAGCTTTTGTTCTCCAGACTATAGGTTTTTCTCTCTCTCTTGTTCTAATGAAAGCTCTTTATCTTCTGTGGATGAAATAGTCACAGTATGATCAAACATCCAAATAATCTTTGGTACCTAGCAAACCAGGCCAGTGATTGAGAATAATTTAAAGTTGATTCTTGAATTTCATCAGTTAATACACTTGTATCTTATGCATAGCAGTACTTAGAATTATATGTAGTATCTTTCCTCCAATGAGCAATGATTTGTATAATAGCTATAAAGTACTTTTCTTCATGGTCAGTGATAAAATTTTAGGTAGTTGACTATCTGGGCAGTTTTCTCATTGGTCCTGAGAAATTGCTGATGCTTGAAGAATGTGAGAATTTAGAATTTATTTTCTG